CAAAGAAGTCGTAGAGCTCCCGGTAGGTCTCGTGCAGGGAGACAGTGGGAGGGTCAGCAGAGATGCCAGTGCCCAGCTGGGGGCCCCCGCTGCCCAGCTGCAGAAGGTGGCTGGCGATGCCAAAGCTGAACTCCACTTGGGGATCCTGCAGGGGGCTGAGCCAGGGAGAGCTCTCCCGACGGCACCCATCCCTACATGGTCTGTCCCCCTGGGCTGATACTGACTGGGCCTTCATCTTCAGCAAGCGCTCCACTGCCACCTGGCAAAGGAAGAGCTGCTCTGGTTAGAAGCCCTGGCCTCTCCGCTCTTTAACCCCAGCTGCAAACCCAGCCACACACAGCAGGAGACTGGAGGATCCCTGGCTCAGCTGGGCCCCTGCCTGAGGCTGCTGCTCACACAGCCCTTTCTGCCCATCCCCATCCCTGATATAAGGGGCACTGGAGAACCACCTTCACCCTACCCAAGGAGAAGCCAAGTCACCCCCATCCCTTTTCTGGCAGGGGCCCTGTATCTAGTCTGACTGAGGCAAGATGCTACGCTATTGGGAGATGGGAGCTCAGTCACGGGCTTCTGGGCTGCCTGGAACTGCAGTGAGTGTGTGGGCCCTGTGGGCAGAGCCCTGGCCCAGCCCTCTCCTCTGGACGGGAGGGGTGAGACTCACCAGGATGGCACCGTACACCTTATGCCCATCAGCCTTCACCTGGGCGTTGGAGACAGAGTAGTCGTCCAGCACGGCCTGCAGGTTCGCCCAGTAGGTGGAGAGATGGGGGTAGAGGACTCGCTCCACAGCCTGGAGAGGAGAGAGCAAAGATCCAGCCCAAAAAGGGCCATTTATTGACTGTCCAAGAACCAACAGCACAGCCAATACATGAGAAGCTAAAGTACTGGCCTGGGGAGCTGAGCCAGGGTCCTCTGCCTTGTGTGTGCACAAAGAGATGGGATTGGGGCACAGAGCAGCAGTTACCAGCCCTTGGAGCAGGTCACCACTTCCTCCCATGCCCCCCAACATAGAGGGACCCAGTGTAGCCACCCTCCTGGGAGGCATCACTGCTTCAATTCTCAGACCCACCTCCCAGGGAAACAGGGTGTTTGGCTTGGGTACCACCACCCTTTGGGCAGGGAGAGGAGAGCAAAGATCATGTGGGGTCGAGAGCTGTCCCTTACCTTCCACCCCAGGGCATGCAGCCCCACCACTGCCCCATAATGAGAGCAAAGCGGGCGCACTGGATCAGCCAGCACCTTCTGGAGGGACAACAGGATCTGGTGGTACAGGCCACTGACGAGGTCGCCATGCGTCCTGAGGGAGGAGACCGAGCAGAGGCTGAAAATCCCTGGAGATTGGACTTGTGCATCCCATCCAGGACCCTCCCCTACCCCATCATGCTCCATCAGAGCTGCCTGGGAGAGCAGGGGCAGCACTGGACTCTTAAGGAGACTCCCACTGACACCAGACATGCTGCTGACTCCCCTGCCTGGGTGCTGGGGGTGGCAGTGACGCCCTTTCAGCCACTCCCCACCATGCCGCACCAGAAGATGTGGCTCAGGAGCATGGCAGCGTAGTCCCGGAGCGTCCAATGGTCGTTGAGGGGGTTGATGGATGCGGCGAGTGGCTCCAGCACGCAGTACATGACGCTGGCAATCAGGCTCTTGACATAGGAGCCCAGGCACAGGTAGGGATTCTGGATGAGGCTCTTGGCGATGTGCAGCAGGCGGTTCAGCTGCTCCAGGTCATGGCTGACGGACTTCACCTGGGACAGGAGAAGAAAGAGCGAAAGGCTCAGAGCTGCTGGAAGGAGGGCGTGGGCCGCTCCAGGGGAGCCACACCCTTGGGAGGGTCTCCTGCCCACCCCACCCTGTTTCTCAGGTGGGTCACATGCCCCGGGGCCTCCTGCTCCACTCACCCCGCTGACCACATAGACAAAGTAGGGCAGCAGGGCTGCGATCTTCGAGTTCGTCTGCAGGTCCTGGAGGGCAACCTGTGGGGAGGAAGTGTCAGATAAGGGTCAGAGGAAGAGGGGTGCCACAGCCAGGAATGGAATGGAGAGCCCCAGCCTGGGGAGAGGGGTTGCACCATGGTTTGTCATGTAGCCATTCTCCCTCAGTCAGGCTCCCCACACAGGGCCAGCGATCCCTGCTGCATGTCCTTCTGAGACACCTGAGCCAATCAGAGCTGGTGGGCAGTTCTCCAGCTGGACCACTGGTGCCAGAACTTTCTGCGATCCTTCCCCCACCGGGCTGCATCAAGCCTGGAGCAAAAGTAGCTTCTGTGGAGGCTGGGGCTCTACAGTCCTTGAAACCCTCATTTGCCCCCCCACATTCCAGGCCAGTCTGAGATAAAGGCACTGATCCTCAGCCCCTCACCCACCTTCATTAGCTGCGGGTCATCCCCAAGCACAGCTCGGGTCACATGCTGGTAGTACTTCAGCAGGTCATCTGAGAGTGTGGAGACAGCACTGGGCACTGCAGGAGAAGCCAGGAAGGCAAGGGTTACGGGAATTCAGTGGAGACCCCTCCGAAGCACCAATGATCCCTACGAGAGCAGCAGCAGCCTGAGTCCCAGTACAGGGTAGGGACCTGCCATGGGGCATTGTTCAGAAAGGAGATGGCAGAAATGTGTGTCTGTGTGTCAGAGACTGACCGAGGAAAAACTCTCATATGAAAAGATTGGGATTGTTTAGAAAGGGGACAGGAGAAAAGTTGATAATGACTGGGACATAGAAGGGAGATCTGGAGCTTCTTGTGATGCTTTGTACTTCGGGGGGACACCCTACACCCCCATGTTCATCTTTATAAAATGATTGTGTGCTATCCAGTGCAAAGTTTGTCATGTTGAATGTCTTCGGAAGGCTCATAATGCACTGAGCATGGTTGTTATAGTGATATTATAGAAATTGTTACAGTAATGTTATAGTGAGGTTATAGGTTATAATTTCATGTACATAGTTATGAGGCTGAAAAGGTACCCTCATGGCTTAAAGCAAGCCCATGCAAAAACTCTCCAAGAACAGAGAGGCAGTTCACACCTCATCAGGGCATGGATGGGACAAACCCAGCCCAGCCTCACAGGAACAATGGACACTGGCTTAGGCAGCAACAAAAGAATCTGTTAGACCCTTGAGGGAGTCATCCCCCTTCCTTTGGTCAGTTTAGGACTGCGATGAGGTAATGCTCACCTGACTCTGGAAAGGGGGGGGGGGGACGGAAAGAGGAGGGGAGAGCAAAGCCAAGAGGAAAGAAAGGACATGATAAAAGGGAGAGATATTTTGCCATGCTCTCTCTTTTCAACCTACATCTACAGACACCACCACCATCAAGCAACTGAAAAGCTGATCAAAGGGGAGAGCCTGACTGAAAAGTAACCAGCCAGCCTGTGGTGAGAATCATCTAAGTTTGTAAGGACATTGAAAGTGTTAAGATCAGCTTAGAATGCGTTTTGCTTTTATTTCATTTGACCAAATCTGACTGGTTATGCTTTGACTTATAATCACTTAAAATCTATCTTTATAGTTAATGAATGTGTTTGTTTATTCTACCTGAAGCAGTGCGTTTGGTTTGAAGTGTGTCAGAGGCTCCCCTTGGGATAACAAGCCTGGTACGTATATATTTCTTTGTTAAATTGATGAACTCATATAAGCTTTCAGCGTCTAGCAGGCATAACCGGACACTGCAAGACGGAGGTTCCTAGGGTTGCGTCTGGGACCGGAGATATTGGCTAGTGTCATTTGCTTGCAAGTAGCTGGGAGCAGCTTACATACCAGAAGCTGTGTGTGAACAGCCCAGGAGTGGGGGTTCTCACAGCAGGGAAGGGTAAGGCTGGCTCCCAGAGTCAAGGATTGGAGAGGCCTGGCAGATCACCGATCCGGATAACACCAGAGGGGAACGTCACACTTCTGTTCTCCCAATCTCCTAACACAAGGACAAGGGGACAGGAGCGACCAAAAGGTGGCAAAATTCCTAACTGATAAAAGGACATACTTTTCCACACACTGTGATTGGCCTGGGGGACTCCCTGCTGCAGGATGGTGCAGAGGTTAAGAACTAAATGAGATTTAGAGGGACTGGATGTGTATGTGGATAACTAGGACAAGCAACAGGGGGTAGCCGTGTTAGTCTGTATCTACAAAAACAACAAGGAGTCTGGTGGCACCTTAAAGACTAACAGATTTATTTGGGCATAAGCTTTTGTGAGTAAAAACCTCACTTCTTCGGATGCATAGAGTGAAAGTTACAGATTCATTTGCAAATTCAACACCATTAATCCGGGCTTGAATAGGGACTGGGAGTGGCTGGCTCATTACAGAAGCAGCTTTTCCTCTCCTGGAATTGACACCTCCTCATCTATTATTGGGAGTGGACTACATCCACCCTGATTGAATTGGCCCTGTGAACAATGGTTCTCCACTTGCGAAGTAACTCCCTTCTCTTCATGTGTCAGTATATAATGCCTGCATCTGTAACTTTCACTCTATGCATCCGAAGAAGTGAGG